ATTTGGTGGCGGCTTTGTGGCGATTTGGTAAAGTTTCAGTGGTGGAATAGCAAAAAAATAAGCACTTTCAGTAAAGAAGAAGCGAGATTAGTTATCATTATCATAGATTTGAAATGATCTTGCCTTCTCAGCACTAAACCCACGAGGCCTGTAATTCACTATAACATAGTTCTGTACTGAAAAAGTGAAATTGGTAGGATTATGGCATAAACATTCTCCAGCAATTGTCATAATACATCCTGGATTCTCAGCTTTATGCACTACAGCACCATAAACAACCCCCATTTTACGCAAATATTTAGGAATTAAATTATAGTTTTTTAAGAATCTATTGAACCATTTAACTCCTGGCTTGCCTGAATTACCTATTCGTCCAGATGATATAGCACGCTAAATCCAAGTGAGTAGTTCTTTGGCTCGTTCTTGATTCTTTTCCATAGATCTAAATTTTTGAGGAATATCTGGTTGTCCCCGATTCTTTGCATAACCAGTTATGCCGGCATCTGTAATACGTAAAGTTATGAGTTCAGCAGGACATATACAAAGCATTATCGTAATATCAGCAAGGGCTTGATAATCGGTTTGTATGGATATATCATAATAATCTAATCTTTCCTTGACCAATTCCAAAGTAAAATGATCAGGATAATCAATTTGAAGAGTTTCTTTAGCAATTTTTTGCCAGTCTCTCTGAATTTTATTGGCTTCTTTTGTAATAACAGGATTTTTTGTAGCCTCAATTATTTCAGGTGAGACATCAAAACTTCTTAGTTCTCTTCGGAGTCGGGAAAGACGTGATAAGCCGGCATTAGCATTTTTTGCTAATAGGGCTAAGGCATAAGCTTTAGCTCTTACATCTCTAATATTAAGTTTATCCCATAAAATCCATTGCACCATCTCTCCAATAGTCTCCTCTATTCTTTTTGGGGGTTTGTTGGAAATCACAATATTTAAGGTTTTACCAGAGGCACTTTCTCGATAGGTATTTTCACATTGGTCATTTTTCTGGATACAGAATATGTCATTTACTTGATCCTCACTAAACCCATATCTATTTGGCAAGATTCGTTTTGCTATCTCTCTAACGATCTCTTCTTCTAAATCTTTAGGGAGTGAAGCTACAACTATTTTGCAACTGCCCTCGATAACATTTATAATCTTGCCTTTTCCACTTCTCTGATTAGGTATCAATATATTTACCTGTTCATCACTAAATTTAAAGCCATCCCGAAGACGTCTTTATTCCTGATTCCTTTTTCTATCATCTATAAGGTTTTTGAGAAACTCAGAGGTATATTGACTAAGTTCAAATGGACTTGTCTTGGAGCTGAGATTGTATTTTTCAACAATTTAGTTACGATAGCTGACATGATTGAATGTTATAGTAGGTTGAGTAGGTTATGAACGATTCTTTAGGTTATATACACTATAGAAAATATTTTTTCAAATCGAAATTAATTATTCTTATTTTCCTATACTTAGAGGTATGAAAAGATATTTTATTTCATTATGATTCCAATTAATTTAAATACATATTTCATTATGAAATTAAAAGTGAAAGAGAGTTTTATATCCTAAAATACTTTTACTTTAGTGTCTTTGACCATGGCTCACTTTACTTGCACACATATTAAGAAGGATAACACTATTTGTGGAAATAAGTGCTATGACCCCACCGGGTGTTATAGGCACTGGAAATTGTATGAAAAAAATATAGAAAAAAAACCCTGCCTTGTTAGTGGTTGTCATAAATATACTTTTTCTACTACGGGATGTTGTCCTGATTATTCGAGTAGATTTCATTCGCTAAATTATCGGATGAGGCAGAAGTATGGGGCTGAGGCCCTTCAACCCAAAATCCCTGAAGCTCCAATTTCCAAGTCAGATGATAGTAGTGCTTCGATCCATGAACACTTGTTTCCCACTTCTTCACAACTATTTGCAGATTCGTTAAGAAGAGATTTAATGGATTCGATCCAGGTCGAAATACTAGGTGATAGGGTTGTAATTAATGGCTCAGCTACAAAGTCACTCAGAATCTATGAAGATCCAGTTTCCGAGTCAGATAATGAGTATATGGGTCTCGGCTTCTTTGGGGATTAGTGGTTAGCTCGGCACTTCGTTAAATTTGGAGCATTAGGAATCCTCTCTGAATTATCTGCCGGAAAGTAAGCAAAAAATATTATTTCATTTATATCATTAAGTCAAATAGTGCTATTTTTTAGTATATAAATAAAGTGTATCAGGCATATTTCTTGGAAAGGGGGCTTCTTCGGAATTATTATATAAAATATTGGAAGAAGCCCCATCTCGACGGTATGTATGATTCGAATCTGTGAAGCTTGGTATTATATTCACACTGCTTTTATAACAGTCTGTCTACGCGATATCAAATAAGTCTTGAATATCTTTTGCAATCAGTATAGTATTCACATTAGAACTGGGAGTATCTTTGATTTGTTTTCTCTCCAAAAGATTTTCCATTAATAATTCATCGGGTGGAAGTTTACTATATTCATACCGAGTATCTTCACCATTTTCCCAATAAAATTCTTTCCCTGTTTGATATGTTGGTAACTCAGAAGAGTCATTATTATCGAATGATCCAACTAGATGGTAATGTTTGCTATGTTTATCCATATCCTTAAATTTTAACCCATAAGTTGCGTGTAGTGCTGAATTTAACAAACCAAATTTTGCTCGAATTGTTTTTAATCCCGATTTTTTAGCACTACGTGATGCATCTGTATTATCAAATACTCGAGCCATTTTAGGTACTAAATCCTGGAGATATGATATCGACTCGAAGGATTCCATGCGTGTTTTAACATCACTAGCTTTATAACGTATCCTATCGTCAATATCTTTAATGGGTATACAATTTCTTAATAACTCCAAGCAGATACTATATCTCTCAGCACGGCTCACGGTTGTGAGTCTATCCTCTCTGTAATCTTTACGAGTAATAGCCTCAACAGCTGTCTCATTATCAGTGCCAGCATCTCGTAATTGCCTATAAGCTCTAAACCATTTCATATGATTAAAATTTCCATATTTCGAGATGAATTCTTCAGTTAATGATTCGGGTGGGATCTCATAACATTCTACAATATGATGTCTGTCTAAAGAGCACATCTCTTCTAAAGTCTTCCTTGGTTTATTCTCCAATAATTCGGCAGTCTCATGATCGACAATAGTAGCATTAGATACATCTGCTATCTCCTCTGCTTTAATGGTAGAGGAACATGCCTTCACTGTTTGAGATAATGACATCGTAGTATCTTCAGGTTTAGGAATAAGTTCGATAACAGAAATTACCATACCCGCATTTCGGAGAAAATCAACCATCCTCCAACCAAATAAGTGCTGGGAATAGAATCTTTCCAACATATAGGCCATCCATAAACGAACAGTTGATACGTCCTTATTCCGGATGATAGAATCTATATCTGGAAATATTCCTCTATTCTGAAGTTCCTGGGGGAGACATTCCCGTTTGGCATTTAACAACCATTGGAATAAACCTTTCTCTGTGATGGGGACGTTAGAAGATCTCTGCTCAATATGACATATATAATCCTTAATACACTGCATACGAAATAATATCTGATTCGTCCCGGCATTTGTTTCTATGTAGCTATTAAAAAGACAGAATGCCTGTTCGAACTTAGGATTAGTGCAGGATACTCCTATTTTTAAAGTGCTTGTATAGGCAACTAAGTCTATGTCTTTCCACGACTCTTTCACATTGCTGAAGTCATGAGCCTTTTCTACCGGATCAGACTTGCCATGATATTCCTTGATCTGTAATTCTGGAAAATCAGTCTTGAGAGCACAAACTATTCCTTGCACATCTTTTCTAAGGTGACAGATGAGCGATACGCTTGTCCGATTCTCAAAAGGTAATAAAGACATTTGCTTAGCCCATTTCCAAAGTTCAGCTAATACTGTTTCTTTATTAGGAGCCAAGCGGAATGTCTTACCTTTCTGAGGCTGGTAAGTATTGTAGATAATAGAAAGAGGTATATTCTTACGAAGGGCCTTAATCCATTCAATGTTAAGGTCAGTTAGGTCATTATTCATTACAATAATGCACCTCGCGTCTTGGATCAATTTATATAACTTCTCTATCGATTGACCTGCCAGATGACTTTGTGCTTGAGCAATTATAGACACTATTTCATCAAGCCACAAGTCATATTGGATTGGAAGACATTTGCATTTTTTATTACATTTGCAATTATTAGTAATCCGATGTAAGCTTTCTATCTGACACACTACCCTCTTATAATCAGGTAGATTTACAGTGGCGCCCAAAAGATTTGCATCATCCGGACAACAATTTTTAAAATCCAATAACATTATACATGGGCATTAATAAAATACAAATTTGAGTTTATTTTATTTATTAACTCGTAAATAATGTATTTAA